GCCCGACGAGGCCTGGTGCGGGGAGGGACGCCGACGGGAGTTGGAGCTTCGTGGGACAGGCTGGGGGCGGACCGCTTCGGTGAACCCGTCGACGAGCGGGCACGATGCCGCGAAGTCAATCTTGGGTGTTTGAGGATGGGGGGGAGGACGAAAATCGGAAGGCGCAGAAGAAGTGTTGTGTGTACAAGTACATCCGCGTGGGACAGAGTTTCGGCGAGAGATTCCGCGGCAATCACATGTTGAAGTGCATTTTCTGCGGCCACGAGTTCCAGGGCAACCAGTTCGTGGCGGCGCGCCATTTCCGCCAGGGCAAGGGATGTCCGGAAGTGACAGACGAGGCACTTGTCGACATCCACTATAACAGTAAGTACAAGATGTCCGACAAGTTCCTAGAGCGGATACAACGATTTGAGAAGCTTCATGGTGAGGCGCCTGCGATGGATCCGCGACGGGGCGAGGGGGGGGAAGGAGAGATGAGGGACGCGGGGGAGCAGATCGACGTGGACGACGACGTCGAGGAGGTTGCACGGGCGGGGTCGTCAGGGAGGGAGCGAGGGAAGGGCATTGTCAGCGAGCCGGGGGGGCAGCAGGGCCAGTACTTTGCGTCGGCGCACGTGTCGGTCCGTACACGGGCAAGTGCAGATACGGCTGAGGTAGGTGCGTCTGCGGGGAAGAGGAAGGACAGAGAGGAGGGGGACAGACCGACGGCAGCAGCCGCATCACAGAAGAGGATGAGACAGAACACGATCATAGGGTCATTCACTTTGAAGTGGTAGATGGAGTTCAAGAAGAAGTGGCTGCGGTTTGTGTACCGTCAGCGCCTGGCGTTCAACGTCTTCCGGAGCGAGCCATGGTTGGACGTCGTCCGACACTTCAGGGACTTGCCGAGGCCGGTGAAGGTGTTGTGGCCTTCAGAGAATGAGATCGCGGACATAGAGACCATTGTCCACACGGTGGACGATGTGGGAGCTGATCTCGCGGAGGTCGGGGCTCCTTTCTATGTCACGGGGGCCACCATTATGTCAGACGGAAGGAAGTCACGCGATGCTAGACCCATCGTTAACTTCCTCGCCGACGGGTCGCGTGGGGTGATGCTTGCCGGACGATGAACAGGGAGGGTGAGAAGGATCAGGTGCCTGATGTGTTGGCGCGCTGGATCAAGGTGTTCGATGACTTCTCCCCTAAGTGGGTGAACGCCATTTGCACCGACTCCGCCTCGGCGTACGTCGCCGCGGCGAACATGCTCCCGGGGCCCCAACAGAGGCTGGAGCATCAACGGATCACGTGGCTCCCATGCGTAGTGCATGTCTGCAACAAGATGTTGTCAGACATTGGCTATTCGGGCCCGTGGTCCAAGGACATCATCGTGAGGGGGAGAGCGGTGGTGCGCTTCATTAAGGAGCAGGGCGCCGCTCTCCATATCTTTCGGGGGGAGAGTAGTCAGATGGGCCTCATCTATCCTTGTGAGACACGTTTCGCATCCGTGTTCGCGATGGTGGAGCGTTTGCTGGCAGTGAGGTCAGCTTTGGAGAGGACAGTGGATGGCGATACTTGGGGTATGGTCCCTTGGGACCATTCCGTTCGTTAGTTGGCTAGGTGGGTCAGGTGGCAGGTGCGACATGGCAGCTGGTGGGATTCCATGGGCATCTTGTTCCGTATCATGGAGCCTGTGTACGACCTACTGCACAGGTTGGACCGCGGAGGGCTGCACATGTCGCGGGTGGTTGGGTGGACACCGGATCTGGCCCACCAGGTAGCAAAGGAGGTTTGTGCACTTCCGACAGATCTTGCACACTACATTGTGCAGAGGGTGCAAGCTCGATACGCTCACATGCTGGAGCCGGCGCACGCCGCTGCTCACCTTCTCTGTCCCAGCCGGCGGGACTTGCGGTACTTCGAGGGCGTGGTCAGTGACTACGACGCGAGCTTGGTGAGGGAGGCGGAGACTTACATCTTGTCGCAGACAGGGTTTAGTGTGGCGAGCTGCGACTACGAGACCGCATGTGCACAGTTGCACGACTTCCACACACGGAGGGGGACGATTGCTTGGGGGGGGAGAGATGGAGATAGAGATGCACAGAGGTGCAGGGGCGATGCGGAGACGTACGAGTCCGGTTGTTGGTGGTCGAGGTACGGGCAGTGCGCCCCGCAGTTGCAGGTTATCGCTCTTCGTGTGATGTACATGTGGACGTGCTCCCCTCCTGCGGAGAGGAATTGGGCCGTCCATGAGGGTGTATAGACGAAGAAGCGTAACCGACTTGAGTTCGAGAAGGTCGCGAAGTTGGTTGAGATCTCAGCCAACGTCCGCCTTCTCTCTCATCAGCGGGCAGGCCGCGGGTTCGTGCTGCCGTGGACTTTAGATGAGTCGTTGTTGGACGTGGAGGGAGGTATCGGGATTCGCCTCTCGTGGAAGGGGACGAACGAGAGCAGGACGCGAGAGGAGGTCGAGGATCAGAGACGTTCATGGCAGCGAGACCCATGTGGGTCCAGAGCTCCTCCGGGTGATGTGGGCGATGTTTTTGGGACTCAAGCCGCCACATTGCACCCGTACCCTCGAGACGACAGTGATTCCGAGGGTCACGAGGACGAGGACGAGCCGGCAGGCCCCGCTAGCGCCACTCCTGCGGCGGATGAGCGTGATGAGTGGAGCGACCTAGAGGACGTCCGTAGACGAAGTGACGGAGATGACCTTTTCGTTCGAGTTGATTTGGAGGAGGAGTCTGGGGGTTGTCATGGGAGCCCTTTGGAGCGTCCGAGGCCTACGTCCAGTGCCCCGCTTCCCGCTGAGCGCCCGCTGAGCGGGAGACAAATCCTGGGTCTGCACCTTCGAGGGGGGCAGAGTCGGAGATTGGCCATCTTCCTCTGGGTCGCTCTGGCACGGCATCATCCTCCGCTCTTCCCACTTCGACGGAGCAGCTTCATCGACAACCAGCCGGTGCAGATCGATTGCAGAGATTGGTGAGGGGCCCGAGACAGCGATTGGATGACAGATTGGAGGGCGGTCCTATGCCGGTGCAAAGTGACGACGGAGACAGACAGGGGTTGGTTGGTGGAGATGGTGGTGCGCTGGCCGGAGGTGGAGGCGGTGCCGAGGTTGACGCGGTGGTTGAGGGGATACCAATGGGCGACAGTGGCGGTTTCAATGAGTTTGGCGATATGGGTATGCCCCCGGGAGAGAGCATGGGTCTGGTCCGAGGAGAGAGCGAGTCCCATGGGGACATCAGTGTGGGTATGCAGGACTTACTGGGACAGATCGGCTTCGCGGACCCGAGTAGTTTCTCCCTTGCCATGCGCGCAGAGGTGATGTTGGGGGTAGAGGGGGATGAGGACCGGACATCCCCTGGAGAGACATCTGCAGAGAGGTTGGATAGGCTTGATAGTCGTCGAGCGTGCCTCATAGCACAGAGGGACCCCAGGAGGCAGGTGCTCGCCCGTCTTGCGGCCGAGGACCGACAGAGGCAGCTGGAAACATATACACAGGCGTCTGTTAACGTGGGGCCAGCTGCCCACACGGATACTCCGACAGAGGTTCACGACACGACGCAGCGGGAGGCGGCTTCGGCAGAGGTTTCGAGTACGGGAGTAGATGTTCAGCAGGGGACGCACGACAGCGGGTCGGCACCGACAGAGGAGCCACGTTCGGAGCCGGCGCAGCCTCCTGCCATGCAGCTGAGGCCAGAGGAGACATTGCAGGAGGTCGCGGGCGTGCCTCTGCCGCGGGTTCAGTTGAGGGTGCCGTGCATATGTCCCCGGGTCTGGAGGACATACAGACGGGGCAGTAAGTGGGCGTTGATGATATTCGCCCATCGGCACAGGCAGAGGGGATAGCGCCGACCCCCGGGGGGGACGGGGCCGTAGCGGGGGTCGTTGGTGTTGGCGGGTCAGGGGTGCCGTCCGCGGCCGATCCGATGTCCACGTCCGGCGGGGGAGACCCCGCACAGGTGGAGAGGCGTGACGCGGACGGACAGGAGATGCCACAGACTCTGCTGGTTCGCACTGCTGTGGGGTCAGTGGTGCCACATCAGGCACCGTTTTTGGAGGGTTATAGGCGTCCTGCACATGGCGGTGGCCCGGTCGAGGAGCGACGTGTAGGCAGGGGCGCGTGCATACCCCCGGTCCCTACTTTTGCGCCGTCACGTACGAGGCCGGAGATTAGGCATGTGGCTACGCCTCGAGGCAGCCTCCCTTTTGGTTTTATCACCGCTGAGGAGTTGGAGGACCATGGCAGGAGGGATTTGACGGAGATTGACCAGCGCATTTTGAGGTCAATCCCGGAGGAGGGAAAACTACCTCACGCGCAGGACTTATCTTGGGGGCCAGCCAGCCCCAGCTTACCTTCTGGGTGTTCCATCGCAGAACCATCTGGCGGGGCTGCAGGGGGCTTACCTTCTGGAGGTTCCGTCGCAGCGGCATTGGGCGGGGCCGCAGGGGACTCACCTTCTGGAGGTTCGGTCGCAGCGCCATCTGGAGGCGCCACAGGCCCTTCGTCACCCTTGAGCGCAGCTCCGAGGGAGGGTGGCAGCCTTACCTCGAGGTCGGTCGCCCGTAGACGGAGAGACACTACCCAGCATGCGCGGGAGTTGCTGGACACCATGTTGTTCGGTCGCACAGACCGACCATGGAGTGAGACGAGATGGGTGGCGACGACGAGTGTTGGTCGTCAGCCAGGTTTGAGAGGGGTTTCCACGAGCGCGAGACGTTGAGATGTTGTAGCTGCAGGGTTTGGCGGTAGAGGGGGTGGCGGCGGTGGCAGTGGTGGCGACGGTGACGACAGACGTGAGGGCGCACGCGGTGCCACAACGAGCGCAATGGCTCCGTCGCGGACGTACGGTTTGAGAGAGGCGTCGATTATTTTGGAGGAGCCTGATGTTGTTACACGACTGAGGCAGGCCTGACACGTGCCCTTAGATCGACACTAGGAGGGGGAAACTTCAGGGACTGACGGTCTACCTATGGCACGCGAGTCACGCCGACGTGATGACCTAGCAGCAGCAGCCATCAGGACGGTGAGAGGCAGGAGAGTCATTATGGACGACGATCCCGACGAGCTTCCTGTCGCTCCCGAGCCTTCCGCTGGCGGACGTGGCGGCCAGCGTCAGAGAGATCGAGGAGGTGGCAGGGGTCGGTCCCACGGAGGAGTTTCTCATCGGTCCGAGTGAGATCCGCGTGCGCATGACGATCGTTGACGGATTACGGACTTGCATTTTCGTGACTTCCTCAGTGTACTTTAGTTTTTTGTTATCCATGACAGACGTAGTGTCTCGTGAGGTTGTATTATAGTCTACTTTCCACTGGGTACTTTTCTGCGCAGACGTAGTGTTTCGTGATGTTGTATTATAGTGTACTTTCCAGTAGGAACTTTTCTATAGTTTGCTACTTCGGAGATTGTAGCTTTCCAGTGTATTTTAGTGTGCTTTTTCATCGGCATTTTCGGGTTGGTACTTCTTTCCACAGACTGGCGGGGCTTCGACACGATGTGTCAGATTTTTGCTATTATCCATTTTATATTGGTTTGCGTTTTGCTTCGATCATTACATCTTGGCATTTGCGATGTTTCTATTTTCAGATGACGAGTGTTTTTTTTGCTTCCCGGCCCCTCACAACCCAAACCCTCCTGTAGCCCCCCC